CAGGGGCGGAGCGGGGGCTGCTGCCCAGGTCAGACAGCCCTGCACATCGCCATCGAGAGGCGCTGCAAGCACTACGTGGAGCTGCTGGTGGAGAAGGGAGCCGACGTGCACGCCCAGGCGCGCGGCCGCTTCTTCCAGCCCAAGGACGAGGGCGGCTACTTCTACTTCGGTAAGCGGGGATGGGGCAGGTGTGGGGGGACACACACACACACACACACCTTGCTGCACCCTGGGCATGTCCCTGTGGTGGGATGAGGGTGATGAGCGCCCTGGCATCCTGCTGCCCTCGCAGGAGAGCTGCCCCTCTCTCTGGCCGCCTGCACCAACCAGCCCCACATGGTGCACTACCTGACGGAGAACGGGCACAAGCAGGCGGACCTGCGGCGCCAGGACTCCCGCGGCAACACGGTGCTGCACGCCCTGGTGGCCATCGCCGACAACACCCGCGAGAACACCAAGTTCGTCACCAAGATGTACGACCTGCTCCTCGTCAAGTGCGCCAAGCTCTTCCCCGACACCAACCTGGAGGCCCTGCTCAACAACGACGGCCTCTCCCCCCTCATGATGGCAGCCAAGACTGGCAAGATCGGGGTACGGTGACCCCCCTTTCCCTAGTTAACCCAGGCTCTCAGCACATCCCGTCCTGTCCTCTGAGTTGCCCTTGTCCTCGGGTGGTTGGGCAGGGGGGTCTTTCACGATGCAAAAGCTGCAGCCGCGTCCCTGCACCCCGGGAGTTGGGGTGTGTGGTGGCAGATGGGGATCTGCCTGGGATGGGAGGTGAGTGGGGTGTCCCGAGCAGGGAGAGGCCAGGTGTGGGTCTGCCCCAGGTGAGCAGTCCTTCCTCTGGCAGATCTTCCAGCACATCATCCGGCGGGAGATCGTGGACGAGGACGCCCGGCACCTCTCGCGGAAGTTCAAGGATTGGGCGTATGGTCCCGTCTACTCCTCCCTCTATGACCTCTCCTCGCTGGACACCTGCGGGGAGGAGGTGTCTGTGCTGGAGATCCTCGTCTACAACAGCAAGATTGAGGTGTGCAGGGGCAGGGGGGGAGGGAAACCAGGGGGCCCGCAGGGTCGTGTCCCTGCTGATGGGTCCCCACGCCCCCCCAGAACCGCCACGAGATGCTGGCGGTGGAGCCCATCAACGAGCTGCTGCGCGACAAGTGGCGCAAGTTCGGGGCCGTCTCCTTCTACATCAGCGTGGTCTCCTACCTCTGCGCCATGGTCATCTTCACCCTCGTCGCCTACTACCGCCCCATGGAGGGCCCGGTGAGTCCCACGGCACAGCCCTGGCTGGAGGGGTTTCTGGGTCTCTGGCCCAAGCAGCCCTGCCTGCCCCGGGGTGGTGAAGCAGCTCAGCTCTTTCCCCGCAGCCCCCCTACCCGTACACCTCCACCCTGGACTACCTGCGCCTGGCCGGGGAGATCATCACCCTTCTCACTGGTGTCCTCTTCTTCTTCACAAATGTCAGTACAGTGGAGGGTGGGGTGGGGTATGTTCCACCAGTGGGACAGCCAAGCCCTCAGGGTCTCCACACAAGGAGCAACTTGAGGGTGACAGCCCCATGTCCTAGAGGCATCAGCTCCTGCCAGGATGACCTCTGGACACTGGGACCCTGCCAAGCAGGGGCTTGCTCACCTGAAGCCCCCAGCCTCTCCCTCTCTTCCCTAGATCAAAGACCTGTTCATGAAGAAGTGCCCAGGGGTGAACTCCTTCTTCATAGATGGCTCCTTCCAGTTGCTCTAGTACGTTGGGGACCCCTGGGGTTGGAGCTGCAGTGGCCAGTGGTGGCTGTTGGGGCATGGTCTGACCCTGGTTCTCCTCCAGCTTCATCTACTCGGTGCTGGTGATCGTCACAGCAGGGCTCTACCTGGGTGGTGTTGAGGCCTACCTGGCTGTCATGGTCTTTGCACTGGTGCTGGGCTGGATGAATGCTCTGTACTTCACCCGGGGGCTCAAGCTGACGGGCACCTACAGCATCATGATCCAGAAGGTCTGGTGGGGTCAGGGGTCTTTTCCTTTCCCAGCATGGCTGGTCCTCCTATGCATGACAACCCCAAAGGAGGGTTCTCTGTGCTTTCTTCAGGGTTTTTGTGGCTCAACAATGCCCTGCACTGGGCCCTGCTGCCCTTGTGACATGGGCTGGTGATGGTCACCCAGCACACAGCCAAGTGCTGTGGTCCAGCACTTCTCACCTCCCTCTCCATCACTTGCAGATCCTCTTCAAAGACCTTTTCCGCTTCCTCCTGGTCTACTTGCTGTTCATGATTGGTTATGCATCAGGTAGGTGCCTGGCACGGGGAGAGACAAGCCCTGTGTCATGGTGTGGTAGACTCACCAGCCTTGTCCCTCCTCCCCCAGCGCTGGTGTCCCTCCTCAACCCCTGTCCCAGCAGTGAGTCCTGCAGTGAGGAGCAGTCCAACTGCACCGTGCCCACCTACCCTTCCTGCCGGGACAGCCAGACCTTCAGCACCTTCCTGCTTGACCTCTTCAAGCTCACCATTGGCATGGGTGACCTGGAGATGCTTGAGAGCGCCAAGTACCCTGGTGTCTTCATCATCCTCCTCGTCACCTACATCATCCTCACCTTCGTGCTCCTCCTCAACATGCTCATCGCTCTGATGGGTGAGACCGTGGGCCAAGTCTCCAAGGAGAGCAAGCACATCTGGAAGCTGCAGGTACCACCCCGGGAGCTGCACTGCAGCACCCCAAGCTCCATCAAAGCAGCACCACCTGGGTGAAGGACCCCAAGCCCCTGTCGCCAAGTGGCTGAGGGTCCCTGCTGTCCCTGGCAGTGGGCCACCACCATCCTGGACATCGAGCGCTCCTTCCCTGTGTTCCTGCGGAGAGCCTTCCGCTCGGGGGAGATGGTCACCGTGGGGAAGGGCACCGATGGGACCCCCGACCGCCGCTGGTGCTTCAGGTAGGGGAGGATTCCCTTGGGAGCCCTGGGGAGCTGGGGGCTGGGAGCAGCATTCCAGGGCACTGGCAGAGTGTGTGTTTGCTGGGTAGTTTGTGCTAATCTGGACCCAGGTTGGTGTTGCTGGTGGCGGGATGGTTCAAGGATGCAGGAGCTGCCACCTTGGCCCCCAGCCGGGTCTCACCTTCCCTGCAGGGTGGATGAGGTGAACTGGTCCCACTGGAACCAGAACTTGGGCATCATCAGCGAGGACCCAGGCAAGAGCGACACGTACCAGTACTACGGCTTCTCCCACACCGTGGGGCGGCTGCGGAGAGGTGAGGGTGTCACCACGGGCTGGGAGCATCCCTTGGCATGCTGCTCGCAGCCTCTGACGTGCCCCAGAACAGATCTGTGGGGCTGAGCGGGGAGTGGGGAGAAGCCCAAGGCTCCCTCCCAGCTCTGACAGGCTCCCACCATCCCCACAGATCGCTGGTCCACGGTGGTGCCGCGCGTGGTGGAGCTGAACAAGAGCGGGCAGCCCGAGGAGGTGGTGGTGCCGCTGGGGACCACAGGGACAGCGCAGGAGAGGGTCGGGAGCTCCCCAGTCTAGCGCGGCGGCGTCAGAGCTCAGGGACTCTGCCCCCGCAGACAGTGGAATTGTGGACTGGGCTGGACGGTGCTTGTCTGCTCCTCAGGGATTTG